TTCAACTGCTCGCTGTAAATATTTTTCAGTGAACAAAAAAAGGAGAAATATCTTGTACCTACAGGTAAAATTCAAGTTTTAGATTTTAAAACTTAGTAAATTTAGTTTGTTTTTTAGCTTTGCTTAATCAAACAGTAACAACTTGCCCCGGAAGTTTAAGATTATAGTCATTCAGTTCGTCACTCGATCAGTCAGTCATCCAGCAGAAAAGCGGTTAGTTTTCTGTCCTTCCTATCAGTGGCCAAAGAATTATTTCCTATGTTGTCTGTTTTTCACTTAACTGTTTTCGGTGTAAATTGTAAGCTAGCGAAAATAATTTTAATTTTAATGATGTTTCCTATATTTAAATAACAGTTGGTAGGGTACTAAAATTAGACAGTAGTACAAGGGACAACGGAATTAAAATAATGCAGCTGAAACTCTGCTTATACCTCTAAAGTCAGATTTCCGAGAATAGATCATATTTCGTCATTGAAGGCGTGGGAAATTTGATTTCAGGAACGCTTCTGCCGACGACATGCAGATTTTATAAGTTGAATACTTTTTCTAATGTTCCTCATTGAAAAGTTGTTACACGACCGATTTTTTGGGCAACGTCGAATCAAACCTGTCAATTTGGACATAAAATAAAATTTGCATTCCGTAATGAGCAGCGTGTTTTATTTCACAGGAGAATATTTTATTATTCTGATTAGGCATTCGGGTTTATGAGATATTATGACAACTTTTGCTGATACAAGTCTATTTAAACAAGCAACGACTACGACAGTGCGCCACCTGCAGCTTATCGAAGCAATTATCATCTGCTTATAACTTCAGATTTCTTGCTTCTTTGTAGTTGAATGTAAATCCTGATTTTTCGTGCTGTTTATCAGTAATTGGCACGCTAGGATTCTGTCTCAACTTTAATTTTAATTCATATTAATTTTCTTTACTCTCTTAAATTTAAAATCATATTTTTTAATTTTGAATTTACGTTTACACTTTGTGCTGATTTCTTGTCATCTGTCAGGTAGTTCCAGGTGAATTGCAGGTGGAGAGCTCATGCACTTGATAGCAAAGCCGCATATCTCCCTCGCTTTGGTATATCTGCACCAAAGCATTCTGCTGTACCTTTTATTCGCAGATCAGCGACCTGTTAGCGTAATTCGGCTGATTGCTCCGAAGCAATATGAAGTGTAATCCTTGCTCAAGAAAATTTGTGGTTAATAGAAACGCTCGTGGGTCTTGAACCCTGCTTCTCCGAAGTACAAAAACAATTAATAATCAATTGCGCTACCGCCCTTCCACAATATGTAGCTTACGGTTAATTAGAAGTCACTCAAAAATTTCAGATACTTTGACACAAGGCAACGAATGGAAAAGAACAGAGCTTGAAAGTCTTCAGAGCCAAATTTCTGCTCAAATTCTTTGATATTAGCACTAAATTCGTTTTTCCCATTGTCCTTCTTCAGAACAAATGGTTACTGCTGTTGAATAGATGAAATAGTACCGTTTTTTTGCTGTGAGAAGGAAATTGGCAGAAAATTTTAAGACTCTGAGATCACTGAAAGAAATGCCATAAATGTTTCCTGTGATAAAAGTGTGACAAATATTGATGCTGAAGATTACAGATATTCTTTACCTTCCGTTCTGCAGTCTTTTTGACCTAAACGAGGATTAAGAGTGGGCACTGGAATATGATCCAAAGAAACACTATTTATATGCATTGTAACAAAATAGATATGTTCCTTCTTTTATTAATGACAACTATCGATCGGCAGAGTTGATAATTCCGCGATGTTGAGAAGATTATAACTTTAAGAGTAATCTGATTTTCAAGTTGACTAAAACCTCTCGTTGGCTGTAAATGTTTCTTTTAAACTTTTGTTTTTATTTATTTGCTGTTAAATTTCCACGCGTGTTTATTTATTGGGTAAAAGCATCTTGTTTATTCAACAAAAATTACATTCATTTGGAAAGGTAGGATATTTCTTTAGTTGAGGAATGCAGGCATTTCCCAGAGTTCCCGTAATCACACAGATTTGCTTATAAAGTAGAACCCGTGGATTAAATACCGTTTTAGAAGAGGGCACTAAGCCTTTCTTTCTGGATGTATTAGAATGCAGGAAAAGTGGAATACAAAGGACAGCCGTACATAAGTACCCGAGACATGCTTAACGGTAAACCCATTTTCCCATTTAGACGCCTCAGTATCCTTCAGAGCCGCTTTAGTTGAAACCTTATTGTTCCTCTGGGTAAGGGCATATGCTAATTCATATCAGAGCCACATAGTGACAATGAATTGAATGAATTATGATCAGATAATTGCTCGAAAGTCTTTATTCTTGGACGGTAAAGAAATATATGGTCTCTAGCCATTGAGATGTCGACCTCCGTTACATTTATGTGATTGGCACCGTTTGTGGCATCTTTCTTTTCATGGGGCCTATAGTGTGGCGCTTCTTTCCGTTTTTGTACCATCATCCTGATGTGCCTTAGTTTAAAGGTAATGTTTGCAGCTCTGTGACAAATATATCATACAGCTTCTGTGTTTTGTTCGACGAAGTGGTACTCGTTTATCTATTTCAGAAGACTGAAATGTGAATGACCCGACCAGAGCTCAAGCCCAATAATTGTACTCTTAGTTCGAACCTTGTGCCGACTGAACAACCACTATCATTCGAGAGCAGAGTAGTAGAGTAATCGACCGGAACCTGAGCAGAAGAAACAACGATCAAGATGTAATCCCAAAAAATAGATCTCAGATGCCAGCTCATCTGAGAAATCTCATTTAACTAATTTAACTGTAAAAGCAGAAGATTCGTTACCGCCTACAATTTAAAATGGTGTGTAACTCCAATTACAGATCGGGTGTTGTATTAAAATGTAATGGTCAGTTGGAATCATATGCTATATAAACTGCATATGTGAGGATATCTACATCGAAGAAATTAGGAGATAGCTGTAAACTAGAATGTGAGTGTCTGGCGTGTCTTTTCAGGGGAGATGCTATGCCTCGGAGGAACAGAACGTACTTATGAATCACGTCGTACTGTCTAATACCAGAGAATTTCCCAAAAAGAAACCCACTGAGGAAAGTAGAAGAGTGTGGAAGCTATCCGCCGGAGAACGGACAAATAGCAAGTTCAACAGATTAGAAGAAATTAATGCGGTCTGCTCAGCGTGATGATCATTGATACGTTATAACTTTTATCTGGAGTCTGTTTTGTAGTCTGCGGTTCGTATGCTTTAGTCTAATTTTTTTCAAAGTTGCAATCTAAATCGACTTTGCTCCATGAGGCGCCCTCCCAGCGACACCCCAGTTCAGGCACCATGTTTGGTTTGGCATCCAAATCGATAGGAGTAACCACACAAAATGTAATCCAGCCTGTCGAGGGTTCGCTTTTTTTTAGATGGCATACTGTTGAATATCTTGACTAAGAATCAGCAGTGAGCTCTTGCTCCCTGATTGCCTGCTAAATTATTTAGATAACAACCGAAGTGTTTGGTAGGAATGTATATCCAGTTCACTTCAAAGCCAGTTCCATATCTCTAGGAAAGTTCTTTTAATTGATGCCCTTGCTCCTATCAGTACTACTGTCTTTGAAAGACTGATTCTTTATTCATAAAGGAACAATTGTAGATTTTTAGTGCATGTTAGTTATGCTTTCTTGATAAGAATAGGTGAGCTTTTCAGTAACGAATGTACATTTCTTGATATTTCCTCGGCATCTTTTAAATTTTATAGTAATATGAAAATAGACGTCGATTTACATGTCAGACTACGAACTTTTAAACTCTGTCACTTTAAATAAGTTATCTGATTCAAAACTAAAGGTAAAGGCTTTGAATGTATAGTTCAGTTTACATTAGCCCCTCCCCCCCAAACTTTTGTTTTCAGTACAAAGCGCATACTGCATTTTGTGCTGTCTTTGTATTGTCACGCTCAAGGCGGAACACAGCATTGGGATGCTGAAATCTTCTTGGCAAGTATATTAGTCAGTTTTGGTCTATTTACTGCTTAATCTTTTCATTTACTGCCTTCGCTCTCGTATCGAATTTCAGGAGTGAGTTAAATCTTAGTTTTAAAACGTTTTTCAAGGTATCCGTTACCCTAAGCAGCATCATATCCAAAATGTTTGATTGAACTTTGTTCATCAAATGTATATTGAATTCTTCGCCTATGCCACTTGTTCGTTTCAGTTGCATGAACAACAAAATGCACTGCTATATGGCTTAATAGTACAAAAAATAACAAAAATAGCAGAATTAACAGACACTAGACTTTTCATTAACGCCATGGCTTCTCATAGTTATACCCTGTAAGCCGTGCAGGGTATGAATATGAGAATTTTAGCAGTTTAGCAAAATTTCTTTGCGTATTCACAACTGATGAAGTAAGTAAAGCTAGAATAAATATTAGTCTAATTTATCAAAGTAGGATACAGATGTGTATGATACAATAAAACATTGTGTACCTTTTAGCATCATTTGAATATGATCGTTTTTGCGTTTCTGCCATGCATTTGTCTCTTGTGCGGACCTTTCGAATCGTTTGTAACTTGCTTGATTGCCCTGGAAAAGTTAAATTTCATGGTGGCGTTACAATGACGTGCATCCACTTTATTCTGTATATAAAATGTTCAGAGGTTTGAGTTCTGCGAAGTTTGCCTTACGTGTCTCATTCAAGTAACTAACGGCGTATTCCAGCGTTCTCGTTTTCAACCTATGCATCATCCCTGATTGCCAAATCTTAGTCACTCATTACTTTATGCACAATCGTCGACTGAAGGGATTGTGCATTGGCTCAAAATTGCTGAAAGACTTGACCAATCCTGCATTCTGCTGCTCTTTCTTTACGCTGCACTCGCGCAGTTTGCGGAGACAACAACTGACTCACATCCTGAGCCATTTAAATCTACTTGGTCGACTCTGTATCTGCGGTGCTTACGAGTTTTGGTGCATTCTAACCAGATTCTTGATAAAGACAACAGTTGCTCTGGGCAATTCTTTTACAACCTGTTCAGCTGCCTCGGTGCACCAGCGGCATAATATCTGGGTACTTTCTTTGCAGGTGCCGAACGAAGGCTTACCTTAGGTCTGTCATTCCGTACGATGTCTGCTCGATCCTAAAACAAACTGTCATTTTGGACCGGACTTTGATCAGGGATCCACTTTTATCGCCGTTTGTATTGTTTAGTTTCTGTATTGTTATATCTGCTGTTTTAGCGACTGAGATTGTGCCTTATGGGTCACTGAAGTAAATTTCACTGACTGATGGGTTGAAGTATTGAAATGTGTGTATTTCAGCTGAAGATCAGTTCGCCTTGATCGACAGCGACCTGAGCGATTCAAACGACGAAGATGACTCCAAGAAGCACAAAGACTCTGACGATGAATGGCTCGTAAGCTTTTTTGCTGTTGTTGCTAAATGCAAAGTGTCCAAGAAGTGCATTTTAAGGATTCAGAAGAAAGCGGAAGCGATGTTGAAGCCGAAATGAAAACCCCAAAGTCTAAAATTGCCAAACGTTCTGGCAAGAAAGTGCAAACCTCCCGTCCAAAGCGTCATTCTCGTCGACCATCAAGATCTCAGCAAGACTCAGATGAGTCTGACTTCAGTTCTGAAGTCAGCTCCGACGACGAAGATGATACTTATGTCCCCCGTCTGAGTAAGCGACGCCCGGAAAAGACGATGACAAGCTACAATTCGTCAAAGTCTGCCAAGATTCACTCGTCCGAGTCCTCGGATGAGCCATCGGTTAAGAACGTTGCAGTAAACAATGCCGTCGAGGACGACGGAAAACAAGAGGATAGTCAGGAGATGAAAAAGGAAGAGAAAGAAAAAGGGAAGGAGCGAGAATCGGACGAAAATTAAAAAAAATCTGTAAGTTACTGCCTTGTTTGAAGCAGTCAAACAAAGCTTTTAACGGATGTTTTATGAATGTGAGCGAGTCGCTTGTACAGCAATATCGCGTAGTGCTTAACTCGAAGTTGCAAAATTTTCAGGTTTGTATCGATTACTGGGCGACATATGTACAGTTTTCTTTCAATACAAATAGAAAGTACAGCAATAGTGTACAAAACTTTCGAAACTGTATTAACGTCACTCAATTTAGTTCTTTTTTTGCGTAGTTTTGCCGGATGTTGGACGAACCGTGCCTTAGTGTATGTTGTAGAGTGTGCCAAGGTATACTATCCCATGGAAGCTCTTCGCTGCAATTTCACGTCATGGGAACCATTATACCGATGTACCAAAATTAACCGAGCGCGGCTATCACGTTTGCTATTTGTATACGAGAGAATATTCTGCACTCAACTCGGACATTGTAAACAAGATCCAAAAGTTTCAAAATGAATTTAGTGCTTGACTTAGTTCATATGAGGGCTGAATAACCAATTTCCCCGGGAGGTGGGTCTGCAATAAATCGGTGAGAATTTATCGTGGCTCCGGGTCGCGTTTACTGACGATGGAAGATGTGAGGACACCGACTCGTGCAGTTGATTGCTAAACGCGTTTTATGTGAACTAGCCAGAACCCTTTGACTAAAATGGAACTGAGTCAAGACTAAGCTGTCTTCATTAAATCGACCTTCGTCTCCGTGCTCATTTTCGGCCGGAATCCGGGCTATCACGGAAAAACTTACCTCGGGTATAATTGCCTGAAATGAGTTTCCTAAGATGAATCGTTGGGTGACGCATCTCGACTTGGCCCGAAATTCAGATATCCGTAAGAACTTCGCTTAAAATTGCTATTTCTCCAGATCGAGAGCTCAGAGATGTGATGGTTTAGGCACGTCTTGCGAATCCTTCCAGAATGAATGGCGGAAAACGTACTAGCTGCTCAACCAACCTCGGGAAGACCCTGGGGGCAAGAATGATTTGGGGAACGTGTTTTGAAGGTCTCTTTAAACTTGGGCTAATCTGTGACTGGTCAAACGCTGACAGAATCAGAAACGATGGAAAGACCCGTCTGATCTGAAGGGATAGGATTGATCGAAATTGACCTAACGAAGCAACAAAACTATCATTCTGGATGGTGAAAAACATTGAATCTTATGTTTAAACATGAGAAACATTGAATCTTATGATATCTAAAGGGAGCGCTGGCAAATTGGAAAGAAGGTCGGGTATCAATTATGTTTTTTAGGCTTGTTTTGCTGTAGTCGGGTGAGAAAGAAGTCGCAAGATCTTGAGTTGTGCAAACAGCTCGAAGTTTCGCATTCTAATGTGGTGGTATCAGAATGTTCGAGGTGTACAGTCATACAATCGTCATATCGCCGTGACTCACCTGAAAGCGAATTTGTGAATATGATAACCACTACAATTTATAATAGCCCTTAAAATATATCCAGATAGTTCCTACAGTAGCGCTGTCCTTCGACACAAGGGAAAGTAAATGGAATTAAAATTGGAAAACGATTATAAAATGACTGTGCAGTTGATCGATTGATTGTCACGCACATCAGAAATGCACAAATTACTGAAGAATATTGCAATTTTTTGCTTCATACGCAAATTCCAGTACGTCACTAACTGATTAAATTAGACCTCAATTTAACGAGGAAGAAAGACGATAGAGTGGCTCCTCGCCATGGCGCAGTGAACTAAGTCCTACGCACAGTGCTTGTTAATGATCACTTCTCTCCATAATTGTAATAATTCCAAAAATCTGCTGTCTCTTCAAAGAGGAAGCACAGAACAAATTTCAGCATTTTACAGCGTGCGATTCGTTTTGCAAACAGAGACGAACGGCTCGCGATAAGAGGAGCAAAACGAAGTCCCCTGAGGGATCATGTTCATTTAAAAAGTTCATGACAGCTTTGAAAACAGTGCACAGAGTAGGTGCAAGACTAAACAACTTCTGTTGTTTACGTACGAGCTCTTAACATTTTGTACAGAGTATTTCACAGAATTGCGCAAGAATGAGAGTATTCAAAGCGATCTTAAAATGATTCCTGCGAACACTTTTTGACTTACAACCCGAAGAAGGAAATGCCAGGGCGATTATATCGATCAAGCGGATGGTAAGGTTATGGCCTTATCGTAGATACAGTTCGTATTTACCTAGTTGACGGTCCATAGGTATATTTTAAAATTCTGAAATTCACACTCATAGCGAATGATTTATCGAACTTTGCACGACACATAAATGACTCCCTAAGATTGCTAATGCATAGCAATATCGGCATCCGTAGGAAAGAAAACGGATACACTTACACGGTCATACGCAGCAATGTGCAGACTTAATTACTGGAGGCATTTTCATTACGATACAGCTGCAAATGTTGATTCAATGCAAATTGTCTAACAAAAACTCAAAAATTAACGGGGTGCAAAACAATAAGCAAGTATATTTTATAGTTCTGCCGCACTCCCAGCTATACCTGTGAATAAATCGATCGAGCATATAGTAGGCGGCTGCATAACACGCGACGTGCATGTGCTCATCTCCGATACAGTTCTCATTCCTTCAGATAGATAACGAGGCGTAGGTATGTTATCGAATAATGCAACTAACAGCGACGTAGAGAATGCTTTCTCGCACACCGCAATATGGTCAATCAAAACGTCTCTTAAGATCGCCGTTAGACTCCAAAATTGCATCTGTGTGACAAAATAAAATGAGGAATATATGGGGCAATTTACAGTAATACGCAAAATCTAATCGCTGCAGATTTTTGTTCTCAAGATACAACTGGAATTGTTCACGGGATCTGTATGAAATCGATTCCCACTGCCACCATGAATCAACCTTTTTTTCAAAGGCTTAAGAAAAAAAACCGCTTCTTTAAGCCGGGAAAAGCGACATAATTTGAAATCTATTTCCGGCATCATTGTGAAACAAATTTAATGGTTCTAACGGGTTTGAATTCATGATTAGGATAAACCGGTGAATTGGTTTTACTCGATACATATCCAACTGCCTCTTCTGCGTTGCATATAACTCACATTTAATCTAATAAAATAAGAATTACATAGTGCTTGATGTTCCACATTAGCGGAAACATTTCGGAAAATCATGAAATAAGTACAACAACACGCTTAGCGGAAGAATGTGAGGAACAGCACCAAATCATCGCGGTTGCAGAAGAATGGAAAGGGTTTCTGAAACTGGTACATTCTCTTTCAAAATACATAATTTAGATCTAAACTAGATTGTGGTACAAAACAGTAAATAAACGGCGGTTTTAGTTCTGATGACTGCAACCACCTGTAAATTAGTCGATCGAGAGTGCTGCAGCTGTACTGTAGGAAACGCGACGAGCACGCGTCTATCTCGGATACAGTGACGATTTGCATAGATAACAGTGTGCAGGAACAGCTCCGAATTATGCAATTAACAGCGTCGTAATGAACACTTTTTCGCACAACAAAGTTACGGAAATCCGAATGTTTTTGTTGAGGCGGCAGTCAGATTATAATATTTCATTTACGTATTCAAGGAAACGGACGCAGATAGAGGGACAAATATGACAGCCTCTGGTTATAGCTGCGGGGAGAATTTTCGAGTAGACGCATATCCAAATGTGCACGAGACAGTTGAAGAAGTAGAATCCCATTTGCCGCAATGAATGTACATCTCTCTGAAACGCCGTGCAAAAAACAGCAGCAGCCTCATTTTAGCATCAAAAGCGGCTAAATTTGCAATCTATTTCGGGCATCGTTGTTTATCACTGCGCAAAATAAAGGCTCCGGCAAATTTGAATTCACGATTAGGATAAACCAGTAGGCTTGTTCTACGCGCTGCGTCTACACTTCTTTTTTCTCCATCTCACATATCTAAAAGCCTCTGAAATACCGTGCTTGATATTCAACATGGGCATTAATATTTCAAAAACCGAAGGAACAAGTCCAGCACTACACAGCGTAGGATTATTAGTAACCCCACTAATTCATGGCGGCAAAAGGAGAACAGAAAGGGCTTTGAAATTGATAAATTCTTATTCAATCTATGTGAGAGTACCACGAAACTGAGCTTGTTGTACAAAGCAGTAAACTACCATAGGTTTTACTTTTGCCGACGGCGCAATTACACCTGTGTATTAATCGATTGTGCGGAGATTTGATATTCTGTAGAACTTATGACATGAACGTGCTTGATCTGATCTCCGACACAGTCACTATTTGCATAGATAACGGCGCGTAGGTATACATTCGAATTGCTTTATTCGGAGAGCCGTATAAATGCTTTTTCGCAGTTCAAAATATCCTCAATCAAATTGTCTATGACGGCAACCAGACTGTAATATTTCATCCGTGTTAAAAAAGACACAAATACAGCGCCATATAAAGTAGTCTGCAATTATAATTGCCGGATTTTTTTCATTTGGACGCAATTGGAAATGTGCCTAGTCGAATCCCGTTTACAGCTTTGAATCTACCTTTTTTTGAAACGCTGTGCAAAAATAAGAGAAGC